ACATCAAGATAATAAGATTGTTCCTTCCCCATCATTATCGTCTTCTTGCTCCTCCACTTTCATCAGTTTTTCACCTTCATGCTTATTATCCTCTCTTATTATCCTCTTCTCTTCTTTCCTTTCGCCTCTGTTCTCTCCCTTCCTTCTTCCTTTCCCCTCACTTTTCTTCGCTTCTCTCCTCCCCTCCACCGCTTAGTTCTCAGTGGTAAAAGTAAACTCCCTTTCCCCCCTCTCATACTCTCCCTCATACTCCCCTCACCCTCTCATACTCTTCCCCATCCCCCCCAAAAAATCTTTTCTCACCCCTCATACCTCCCCACCCCCTCACACTCTCTCTCACCCTCTCTACGCCCTCACTCCCAAAAACCTTCCCCATTTTCTTCTCACCCCTCATACTGCCCCTCACCCATTTTACTCTCTCTCACCCCCTCAATTTTCCCTCACCCCCCCCACTCTCTCTCACCCTTCATACTCTCTCCATACCTCCCTACCCTCCACACTCTCCCTCAACACAGTTTTCAGGAAACAACACATTTCCTTAGTTTCTCTTCTTCTTCACATCACTCTAATGACGACACTTCCTCTCCCTCTCGTGTTGCCTTCACTACCTCTCTCTCTCTCTCTCTCTCTCTCTCTCTCCCACCCAAATTCTCTCTCCAGAAGCCAATCCCAATACCAGAAGTCCCAGTATAAAGTGGTGGATAAGGGAATCAGGTGGCAACACAAAACTGATGAACTACAGGAAAGAGAGAGAGAGTAGCAGAGGAGGATCCAGATATTATAGCTGTCACTGAGACAAAACTTTACGGAATGTTAACCAATGCATTATTCCCAGAGGGGTATATCATAGTGAGTAGAGAGAGAGAGAGAGAGAGAGAGAGAGAGAGAGAGAGAGCGATCCTTAACCTTGTCAAACCCTGTGTAAAAAAAAAAAAGAGAGAGAGAAAGAGGTGGTGTGGTACTACTGGCAAAGAATCAGTGGAATTTATGAGATGGATAACATTGACACTGTTGACTTTAAATACTTTGTAGTTGGAAAAGTAATGACTGGGGAGCCAAGGTAATAGTAGCAATGGTTTAGAACTTCCCTCCCCTCACGTCCTCTTCCCTCCCCTCACGTCCTCTTCCCTCCCCTCACGTCCTCTTCCCTCCCCTCACGTCCTCTTCCCTCCCCTCACGTCCTCTTCCCTCCCCTCACGTCCTCTTCCCTCCCCTCACGTCCCCTTCCTTTCCCCTCTCCTCCCCCTCCCCCAGTGAAGAAGAGAAGACCAAGGCAGCAGTATAATGAGAACAACATAGCCACAATGCAAATTCCAAAGAAAGGTGTCACGGAAAGCACGACAAAACAAAGCTTGTGCCTGAAGGTGATTTCAACCACAAGACAATAGATTGATAGACCTGGGAGTCACGTGAGGGCTAGAAACATGGAGGACCAGAAACATGGAGGACCAGAAACATGGAGGACCAGAAACATGGAGGACCAGAAATATGAAGGACCAGAAACATGGAGGACCAGAAATATGGAGGACCAGAAACATAGAGGACCAGAAATATGGAGGACCAGAAACATAGAGGACCAGAAATATGGAGGACCAGAAACATGGAGGACCAGAAATATAGAGGACCAGAAACATGGAGGACCAGAAATATGGGGGCAGCAGTGGAAAAGTCACGACTCATCATGTCAAATAAGCCGCGAGAGGGAGGGCAGGGGATGAACCAACTCGACTAGACCTGATTTTCACCTCAGATGAATCCGACATAGATGAAATTGAATATGGGCTGCCACCAGGAGCTAGCGACCACAAGGTCCTCAGCTCTGAGCACTTGGGAGAGGTAAGAGTGAAGAAAAGAAGGTACAAATAGTAACCCAGAGTTTAGAAGAGGGGACTATGAAGGAATGAAAACATTTCAAAATCTAGTACAGTGAGACAGAGAACTGACTGAACAGACAACCTACGAGATGATGGAGAACCTCGCCAGACAGTGCCTGGAGGCAGCAGTAATGTCTGTATCCCACAGGAGGTGTGAGACCTCAAGATACAGTGAGGACCCTTGGTTTAATCAGAGATGCAGTGGAAGGGGCAAAAGTTCATGGCAAAAGTACAGAATGAAGATTACGACGGAGAATAGGGTGGCAAGCAGAATACCGAGGAATGAATAAGCAAGGATAAGAGAAGCAGAACGTCAGTTTGAGAATAACAGCAGCAAAGACAACTCAGAGGAGAAACTGCTAAGTAAGGAGGATGATGACTGTAAAAGGCTGAAGGATAAGACTGAAGAGGGAAGGAGGGGGGGGAGGGGACTCACAGAAGGCGATAGAGAAATCTGAGAGGCATTAATTAGAAGATTTAAATACGCATTCACTGAGGAAACAGAGACGATGCCAGAGTGAAGGGATGGAAGGGATGATCAGCATAGAATATTGGATAGTCATGTATCAAAGAAGGAACTAATGAAACCACTAAACGAGTTAGAAACATCAAACACCATGGACCTTGATGACAAAGCTTCATGGATACTGCAAGAAGCAGTGGAAAAACTGTGTGAACTTACATCAATAATCTACATGTCTCTGAAGATGGCAAACCTACCAAGCAGCTAGAAAACTGTAAACGTTATCTCGGTAAAGAGGCAACGGTGGTAGACAAGAAACACTCAATTATAGGCCAATATTATTGACATGTATACTGTCCAAAGTGCTGGAAAAGATAATTAGGAAAAGATTCCAAACACACATAACCCACACACAGGAAACATCTTCATAAGATCCTTTTTCCTAGTATATGTGAGTTGTTTGTGTGTTGTTACAGTCACGGCATTGTGCCTCTTGTTCTTCAAGAAAACACTGGTTGAGTATCCAAAGTGGCGGGACTATTTTTTGCACAGAAAACGAGTCTGGATTTAAGTAAGGTAAATCTTGCCTCAATAACCTACTGGAGTTGTACGAAATATTAACGGATATCAAGCAAGAGAGATAATGAAGAATTGACTGCATGTTATTGGGCTGAGTCACAAATTAAAGGAGTACGTAAGGATACGAGGTAGAGTGCTACAGTGTATCAGTGCTACAGTGTATCAGTGCTACAGTGTATCAGTGCTACAGTGTATCAGTGCTACAGTGTATCAGTGCTACAGTGTATCAGTACTACAGTGTATCAGTGCTACAGTGTATCAGTGCTACAGTGTATCAGTACTACAGTGTATCAGTGCTACAGTGTATCAGTGCTACAGTGTATCAGTGCTACAGTGTGTCAGTGTTACAGTGTATCAGTGCTACAGTGTATCAGTGCTACAGTGTATCAGTGTTACAGTGTATCAGTGCTACAGTGTATCAGTGCTACAGTGTATCAGTGCTACAGTGTATCAGTGCTACAGTGTATCAGTGCTACAGTGTATCAGTGCTACAGTGTATCAGTGCTACAGTGTATCAGTGCTACAGTATATCAGTACTACAGTGTATCAGTACTACAGTGTATCAGTGCTACAGTGTATCAGTGCTACAGTGTATCAGTGCTACAGTGTATCAGTGCTACAGTGTATCAGTGCTACAGTGTATCAGTGCTACAGTGTATCAGTGCTACAGTGTATCAGTGCTACAGTGTATCAGTGCTACAGTGTATCAGTGCTACAGTATATCAGTGCTACAGTGTAGCAGGACAGAGGCTGATGGTAAGGACATGTTTCAGGATGGGGAAGTGTAACAAGTGGGGTTCCCCAAGGGTCAGTTCTAGGACTCTTATTATTCTTAATTTACCCAAAAGTCCTGCCAAAGGCAAAGCGAATAAAATACGATTTTAAGTAAACAAAACACGGGTTTAAGTAAACAAAACACGGGTTTAAGGGAACGAAAACGTTTAAGTGAACAAAACACTGGTTTAAGAGATTAAAACACAGGTTTAAGTAAACAAAACGGATTTAGGTGAACAAAACAGAGGTTTAAATAAAGCTAAACGACTGTTCCTCCAGACTGCGGGTTCTCAGGGAAGGTGTAAAAGGTATTCTTTATATACCGAGTAATGGACGAGATTGTACTTCGTTCTTTATATTCTGATTCACCTCTCTTCCCTTCTCTCTCTCTCTCACTCTCTCTTTCTCTCTCTCTCTCTCTCTCTCTCTCTCTCTCTCTCTCTCTCCTCTCTCTCTCTCTCTCGCGTCCATGAGGTGGACAGTAACGTGGAGATCCCATCAACACCATCAACAACATCAACAACATCAACAACATCAACAACATCAACAACATCAACACCATCAACACCATCAACAACATCACACATCAACACCATCAACAACATCAACAACAATCAACAACATCAACACCATCAACAACATCAACAACATCAACATCAACAACATCAACAACATCAACATCAACAACATCAACAACATCAACAACATCAACAACATCAACATCAACAACATCAACACCATCAACAACATCAACACCACAAACAACATCAACAACATTAACAACATCAACAACATCAACAACATCAACAACATCAACAACATCAACAACATCAACAACATCAACAACACAACAACATCAACATCAACAACATCAACAACATCAACAACATCATCAACATCAACAACATCATCAACATCAACAACATCAACAACATCAACAACATCAACAACAACAACAACATCAACACCATCATCAACATCAACAACATCAACAACATCAACAACATCAACAACATCATCAACATCAACAACATCATCAACATCAACAACATCAACAACATCAACAACATCAACAACATCAACAACATCAACAACATCAACACCATCATCAACATCAACAACATCAACATCAACAACATCAACAACATCAACACCATCATCAACATCAACAACATCAACAACATAAACAACACCATCAACATCAACAACATCATCAACATCAACAACATCAACAACATCAACAACATCAACATCAACAACATCATCAACATCAACAACATCACAACATCAATCAACATCAACAACATCATCACAACATCAACAACATCAACAACATCAACAACATCAACAACAACAACCAACATCAACAACACCATCAACATCAACAACATCATCAACATCAACAACATCAACAACATCAACAACACATCAACAACATCAACAACATCATCAACATCAACAACATCAACAACATCATCCAACATCAACAACATCAACAACATCAACAACATCATCACCATCAACAACATCAACAACATCAACAACATCAACAATATCAACAACATCAACAACACCATCAACATCAACAACATCATCAACATCAACAACATCAACAACATCAACAACATCAACAACATCAACAACATCAACACCATCAACAACATCAACAACATCAACAACATCAACAACATCAACAACATCAACAACACAATCAACATCAACATCATCAACATCAACAACATCAACAACATCAACACCATCAACAACATCAACAACATCAACAACATCAACAACATCAACACCATCAACAACATCAACACCATCAACAACATCAACAACATCAACACCATCAACAACATCAACACCATCAACACCATCAACAACATCAACACCATCAACAACATCAACAACATCAACAACATCAACAACATCAACAACATCAACAACACCATCAACATCAACAACATCAACAACATCAACAACATCAACAACATCAACAACATCAACAACATCAACAACATCAACAACATCAACAACATCAACAACATCAACAATATCAACAACATCAAAAACACCATCAACATCAACAACATCATCAACATCAACAACATCAACAACATCAACAACATCAACAACATCAACAACATCAACACCATCAACAACATCAACAACATCAACAACATCAACAACATCAACAACACCATCAACATCAACAACATCATCATCAACAACATCAACAACATCAACACCATCAACAACATCAACAACATCAACAACATCAACAACATCAACACCATCAACAACATCACACCATCAACAACATCAACAACATCAACACCATCAACAACATCAACAACATCAACAACATCAACAACATCAACAACATCAACAACATCAACAACATCAACACCATCACACCATCAACAACATCAACCCATCAACAACATCAACAACATCACAACATCAACACATCAACAACATCAACAACAACAACATCAACAACATCAACAACATCAACAACAACAACATCAACAACATCAACAACATCAACAACATCAACAACATCAACAACATCGACAAAATTCTAAAACTTTTTTCCAATTGTGAATTGAAGGTTTTACTGTTTACCACGATGGTTGATGTGTTATGTTGGTATTGTGTGTTTGGTATTGTGGTTTGGAATTGTGATAGTTTGGTATTGTGTTTGGTATTGTGTTGGTATTGTGTGTTTGGTATTGTGTTTGGTATTGTGTGTTTGGTATTGTGTGTTTGGTTTTGTTGTTGGGTATTGTGTTTGGTATTGTGTGTTTGGTATGTGTGTTTGGTTTTGTGTGTTTGGTATTGTGTGCTTGGTATTGTGTGTTTGGTATTGTGTGTTTGGTATTGTGTGTTTGGTATTGTGTGTTTGGTATTGTGTGTTTGGTATTGTGTGTTTGGTATTGTGTGTTTGTGTTTGTGTGTTTGGTATTGTGTGTTTGGTATTGTGTGTTTGGTATTGTGTGTTTGGTATTGTGTGTTTGGTATTGTGTGTTTGGTATTGTGTGTTTGGTATTGTGTGCTTGGTATTGTGTGTTTGGTATTGTGTGTTTGGTATTGTGTGTTTGGTATTGTTGTTTGGTATTGTGTGTTTGGTATTGTGTGTTTGGTATTGTGTGTTTGGTATTGTGTGTTTGGTATTGTGTGCTTGGTATTGTGTGTTTGGTATTGTATGTTTGGTATTGTATGTTTGGTATTGTGTGCTTGGTATTGTATGTTTGGTATTGTGTGCTTGGTATTGTGTGCTTGGTATTGTGTGTTTGGTATTGTGTGTTTGGTATTGTGTGTTTGGTATTGTGTGTTTGGTATTGTGTGCTTGGTATTGTGTGTTTGGTATTGTGTGTTTGGTATTGTGTGTTTGGTATTGTGTGTGTTTGGTTTGTTGTGTTTGGTATTGTGTGCTTGGTATTGTGTGTTTGGTATTGTGTGTTTGGTATTGTGTGCTTGGTATTGTGTGTTTGGTATTGTGTGTTTGGTATTGTGTGCTTGGTATTGTGTGCTTGGTATTGTGTGTTTGGTATTGTGTGTTTGGTATTGTGTGTTTTGGTATTGTGTGTTTGGTATTGTGTGTTGTTTGGTATTGTGTGCTTGGTATTGTGTGTTTGGTATTGTGTGTTTGGTATTGTGTGGTATTGGTATTGTGTGCTTGGTATTGTGTGTTTGGTATTGTATGTTTGGTATTGTGTGTTTGGTATTGTGTGTTTGGTATTGTGTGTTTGGTATTGTGGTTGTTTTGGTATTTGTGTGGCTTGGTATTGTGTGTGTTGGTATTGTATGTTTGGTATTGTGTGTTTGGTATTGTGTGTTTGGTATTGTGTGTTTGGTATTGTGTGCTTGGTATTGTGTGTTTTGGTATTGTGTGTTTGGTATTGTGTGCTTGGTATTGTGTGTTTAGTATTGTATGTTTGGTATTGTGTGCTTGGTATTGTGTGTTTGGTATTGTTGCTTGGTATTGTGTGCTTGGTATTGTGTGTTTGGTATTGTGTGCTTGGTATTGTGTGCTTGGTATTGTGTGTTTGGTATTGTGTGCTTGGTATTGTGTGCTTGGTATTGTGTGTTTTGGTATTGTGGTGCTTGGTATTGTGTGTTTGGTATTGTGTGCTTGGTATTGTGTGCTTGGTATTGTGTGTTTGGTATTGTGTGCTTGGTATTGTGTATGTTTGGTATTGTGTATGCTTGGTATTGTGTATGTTTGGTATTGTGTATGCTTGGTATTGTGTATGTTGGTATTGTGTATGTTTGGTATTGTGTATGCTTGGTATTGTGTATGTTTGGTATTGTGTATGCTTGGTATTGTGTATGTTTGGTATTGTGTATGCTTGGTATTGTGTATGTTTGGTATTGTGTGTACTTGGTATTGTGTATGCTTGGTGTTGTGTATGCTTGGTATTGTGTGTACTTGGCACTGACCTCTGAATGGTTGACACTGACCTCTGAGTGGTCGGCACTGACCTCTGAGTGGTTGGCAATGACGTCTGAGTGGTCGACACTGACCTCTGAGTTGTTGGCACTGACATCTGAGTGGTCAGCACTGACTTCTGAGTCGTTGGCACTGACATCCTAGTGGCTGGCACTGACGTAGTGGATGGCTCTGATCTCTTAGTGGATGGCACTGGCCTTCTAGTGGTTGGCACTGATTTAGTGGATGGCACTGACCTCCTAGTGGTTGGTACTGACCTAGTGGATGGTAATGGCCTTCTAGTGGATGGCACTGACCTCCTAGTGGTTGGTACTGACCTAGTGAATGGCACTGGCCTCCTAGTGGATGGCACTCAGGTAGGTAACACGTCAACTCTGGCCCAACAACTCAAAATTTAATAAGATGGAAATTGCTGTGACAAGGCTGGGTGAAGCATCTCAGTGGGTCGTCCAACGCTGCCTTCAGTTCTTTTAAGAATCGATGCCTAAATTACAAATATTTGATAGATAAGCCCTGATGTTCTCTTTATAAGTGTCCCATATAAGTGTATGACGCTGTTTACCGGTTATATCAGTGGTATATAATACTGACCATTCTATGAATTAGACACTTGTGTACAGTGGCGGACCTACGTTTTTGGGCCCCTGAAGTTTGACTGTTATGGGGGCCCCTGCGCAACCTCTTTTCATACACACTCAAAAATTTTAAGTGATTCTGGGGCCTCTCCGGGATTAGGGACCCTCAAGCTTAAACTTAGTTTCTCAGTAGATCCGCCCCTGCTTGTGTAAGTTTATTTAGGTACATGCACACATAAGTACAATCATTTTACATAGTGTTAATTGCCTAGCATAACCTAAATAAGTCAAAGTGACGAATTTCAGTTAGGGTCCTTGTAGACGTCTACAGAATGAAGAAGACCAGATGCTGCACATGTGTCCAGGTCGTCACGAACTGGTTCACGTAACACAGTAACTGAAAGATAATGTACCGTTGTAGAAAGAGATGAAAAGAAAGAAAGGCAGTGAATAAATGCTGTCTCTCTGATATTTGTAAGTCCACCTGTACTGCGGAAGTTAAAATGCACCTCAGGTGGACGCTGGTGGATATATATAGATAGATAGATAGATATGGATGTCTACTAAGGCCGGTAGTAGACAGAGGGAACAGAGGAAAAGAGGCAGCACTGCTTATCAGAAACCAGTGGAGTTTTGAGGAGATGGGAGGAATGGGTAGCGGTAAATCAGATAACTACATAGTAGACACGCTTAAGACCGGGGGGGGGGGGGTCCCAAGGTGGTGATAACAGTGATATACAACCTGCCAATAAACAGCAAGAGACCAAAATATGAGTATGATGACAGCAAGAGAACAGTGGTGGATACAGTAGCTGAGGTGGACACAAGGGCTCCCAGGGTCAGGGCAAAGCTGCTGCTCATAGGTGACTTTTAATCACAGGGAGATTGACTGGGAAAACCTGGAGTCACATGTGGAACCAGAAACATGAAGGTCTGAGATACTGGAGGTGGTAGTGAAGAACATCATGCGCCATTTCTGGGACACAGCCAAAGAGAGAGAGAGAGAGAGAGAGAGAGAGAGAGAGAGAGAGAGGAGAGAGAGAGAGAGAGAGAGAGAGAGAGAGAGAGAGAGAGAGAAAGAGAGAGGATAAACCAGCGAGGCTGAACCTGGTATTCACCTTGAGTGGTGCCGACATTGGGTATATTGCATATGAAGGATCCCACAGACCTTTAACATTCATCGCCTGAGGGCTGATTGTTGCTGTCTGAGGACTGCCTGACTGGTGCTGCCTGAGGACTGACTGGTGTTGCCTGAGGAATGACTGGTACTGCCTGAGGACTGACTGGTACTGCCTGAGGACTGACTGGTGCTGCCTGAGGACTGACTGGTACTGCCTGAGGACTGACTGGTGCTGCCTGAGGACTGACTGGTACTGCCTGAGGACTGACTGGTGCTGCCTGAGGACTGACTGGTGCTGCCTGAGGACTGACTGGTGCTGCCTGAGGACTGACTGGTGTTGCCTGAGGAATGACTGGTACTGCCTGAGGACTGACTGGTGCTGCCTGAGGACTGACTGGTGCTGCCTGAGGACTGACTGGTGCTGCCTGAGGACTGACTGGTGCTGCCTGAGGACTGACTGGTGCTGCCTGAGGACTGACTGGTGCTGCCTGAGGACTGACTGGTGTTGCCTGAGGAATGACTGGTACTGCCTGAGGACTGACTGGTGCTGCCTGAGGACTGACTGGTGCTGCCTGAGGACTGACTGGTGCTGCCTGAGGACTGACCGGTACTGCCTGAGGACTGACTGGTGCTGCCTGAGGACTGACTGGTGCTGCCTGATGGTTATATAAGGTATCAGGCAACAGATCTCGAACAAAGCTTGGGTCGTCCAGTTGTGTTGTTGACGACCCTCTCTCTCTGTTATATCTCTGCCACACAAAGCCACATTCCTACCCTGAGAGAAAACAAAAAATAAGAGAGAGAGAGAATTTTGTATCTTCTACAAAATTCTCTGAATTGTGTGTGTGTGTGTACTCACCTAGTTGTGGTTACAGGAATCGAGTCATAGCTCCTGGACCCGCCT